GCTGGTGCGTGTGCTGGTGCGTGTGCTGGTGCGTGTGCTGGTGCGGCGCGTGTGCTGGTGTGCTGTGTGCTGGTGCGTGTGCTGGTGCGTGTGCTGGTGCGTGTGCTGGTGCGTGTGCGTGTGCGTGTGCGTGTGCATGTGCGTGTGCGTGTGCGTGTGCGTGTGCGTGTGCGTGTGCGTGTGCGTGTGCGTGTGCGTGTGCGTGTGTGTGTGTGTGTGTGGGTGTGTGTGCGTGTGTGTGTGGTGCGTGTGGTGCGTTTTTTGCGTGTGGTGCGTGTGGTGGGTGTGGTGGGTGTGGTGGGTGTGGTGGGTGTGGTGGGTGTGGTGGGTGTGGTGGGTGTGGTGGATGTTGTGTGGGTGTTGTGTGTGGGTGTTGTGGATGTTGTGTGGGTGTTGTGTGTGGGTGTTGTGTGTGTGTGTGTGTGTGGGTGTGTGTGTGCGTGTGTGTGTGTGGTGCGTGTGGTGCGTTTTTTGCGTGTGGTGCGTGTGGTGGGTGTGGTGGGTATGGTGGGTGTGGTGGGTGTGGTGGGTGTGGTGGATGTTGTGTGGGTGTTGTGTGTGGGTGTTGTGGATGTTGTGTGGGTGTTGTGTGTGGGTGTTGTGTGTGTGTGTGTGTGTGGGTGTTGTGTGTGTGTGTGTGTGAGGGTGGTGTGTGTGGGGTGTGTGTGTGTGTGCAACCCTGTATCGAAGGGCAGTATCCAAATTTTGACTGCAATGGTGAGTGCACGAGTGTGGAAAAGCGAATCTGGAGTCATGCCAGCCCGGAGTGTTCCTGTCAAGGTTTGAGCGCCGGCATCTGAAGAGGATGACTTTTAGAAAACCTGGTAGTGAACCTCCGACGAAACTCCAGTAACAGTTTTGAAGCGCGGACCGTAGACAATGTGCGAACTGAGGATCTGATCGGTCTGTATGCAAGTGCGATTGTGGCGTTCGATGGGGTGAGTTTGTTTATGTTTCGTTGGTGGCCGTTCCGCTGCTACTAAGGTGGGGGTCCGAGTGTGTTTCGCTCCGGCTTGGTGTTTGAGTCCGCTGCTATACCAGAGATTCACAATGATTACCCCTCGTGGTTTAAACAAACCCTAAACCCTAACCCCTAAACCCTAATCCCTAATCCCGAAACCCTAAACCCTAAACCCTAAGCCCTAAACCCTTCATCTTATTCCACTATATAGCCCGTATGTATACCCTCCTTTAGTCCCTTGATGCTGCCACGGCAACTCCTCCAGCGCTCGCTGCAGGCGAGCTGTCCGCAGGATCTGACACCTTGGAGAATTCGGGCAGACAACCGATTCAGGGTTTAGGGTTCTAGGTTTAGGGTTTAGCGTTGAGGGTTTCGGGTTTAGGGTTTAGGATTTAGACTGTCTTCAGCAGGCTTGTGGCCCTAAACCCCAAAGCCTCATGTACCCTAGTCACGGAGCGGACGGAGGGGTTGCTCTTTGGTGCTTATTCTTCAGGGGGTGGGAAACCTATTTGGAGTCTCATGGTACCTGTTACCCAGTTCTTCCTGCACGTATAACTGTACTTATGACCATATTAGGGCACTTAAGGGGCTGATACGTGGGCTAGAAGTAGGGTTTAGGGTTTAGGGTTTAGGGTTTAGGGTTTAGGGTTTAGGGTTTAGGGTTTAGGGTTTACAGGGTTGATAAGTACCATGAACCTCCAAGTAAACCCTGAGCCCTGAACGAGGGAAAAATGCCACGCATCCCCTTGGTGCCAACTCCAACCCTGACATGAACCCTAAACCCTAAACCCTAAACCCTAAACCCTAAACCCTAAACCCTAAACCCTAAACATCCACGTCTCAGACGTGAACAGAACGCAGAAGGTACCCCTTGACGCAAGGTTAACCCCTAAACCCTAAACCCTAAACCCTAAACCCTAAACCCTAAACCCTAAACCCCTACTCTAGGTCTGAGATGCCAGCTAGCCAGTCCCCAGCCGGAGGCTGCCAGTCTATAGCCTTCTGCCAATGTTCGCGGGTCGTTACTGGGGAGTTGGGGTTTGGGGTTTAGGGTTTAGGGTTTAGGGCTTAGGGTTTAGGGTTTAGGGTCTAGGGTTTAGGGTTTTTACTCTTCACCACCTTACTTTGGGGTAGGACGCGGAGACCTGTCTCGAACTTCTTGAACCCCTAAACACCCCCGTGCACTAAACCCCCCCAAAGATCCTAATATAGGAGCTTTATAAGTAGAATAGGGTTGTGGGGGCGGGGGGGCTACTCTAGTGCAACAATAAAGGAACCATAAGGGTATACTGTCAGTCATTACTCCAACCTTATATTATAGTACCAGAACCCTGTCTCAACTAATGTGGTCTTTGGCTTAGGGTGGGGGCTTGCTTGAAGGTTCATGGATGGTTAGAAGTGGGTGCTATAGGTAGGGCAACTAACTGGTTGGATCCTACTGATACCCATACTTAGAAGTACCGGGGCTTAGGCTTAGAGGGTTGAGGGCTTAAGGTTTGCAAACGCTACCCAGAGGGTTCATTTGGACCTCCTTCTTACGGAATGAGGGGTATCCAAGACTAATCTAACTATTTCCACGCCTCCTGGCCGGCCATGGAAAGGAAACGTAGGGGGCCGTAGGGCTTAGGAGGGCAAAGCCTGACAGCTTGAGGGCTCCGGTCAAGGGGCGTTCTTCGTTCCCTGACAACCTCGAGCTTTAGTTTAGGGTTTAGGGTTTAGGGTTTAGGGTTTAGGGTTTAGGGTTTAGGGTTTAGGGTTTAGGGTTTAGGGTTTAGGGTTTAGGGTTTAGGGTTTAGGGGGTTTAGGGTTTAGGGTTTAGGGCTTAGGGCTTAGGGCTTAGGGCTTAGGGCTTAGGGCTTAAGAGTTTGGGGCTTATAGGGAATAGGGTTCAGGGTTTTTACGGGGGGGATTGAGGTCTAGGGTTTGGTTGCAGGGTGGTGCGATGCCTCCATGACCCGCGCACGCTGATGAGCCGACGTTTGTGCGATGAACGACAGGCAAAAGCTTCAGGAATCAGGGGCGGTTTAGGGTTTAGGGTTTTAGGCTTTAGGGTTTTAGGGTTTTAGGGTTTTAGGGTTTTAGGGTTTTAGGGCTTTAGGGTTTTAGGGTTTTAGGTTTTTAGGGTTTTAGGGTTTTAGGGTTTAGGGTTTTAGGGTTTTAGGGTTTTGGGGGTTTAGGGTTTTAGGGTTTTAGGGTTTCGAATTTAGGATGTAGTGTTTTAGGGTTCGTTGCCAGTTCGGCTTTTGGGGAGGGGGGGACTGTTTAGGAGCTTTGGTGAAAAACAGTACATGAAGTCGTACATGATAGCACTTCCCGGGAATTTGGACAATCCCCCGCCGCTGTACCACGGAGAAGACCCCATAAACCTCCACACTGCCCGCAGCTTCTTTTTGCCGAGGCAGCCAAAAGAGTCAGCTATCAGACGTAGCACCGCTCTATCTTTGCTTTGCTACTTCGGAGACTGACTTACTGGAAAGGCAGGCTGTGCAGTTTAGGCCGCTTGGTGCTCTCGGGCTCAGGGCGCTGTGTTGTGTTGAGGCACTAGTGGCTGGAAGTAATCTCACAGCTTCTCGCTACTGACTGGCTTCGTCATGCGCCTGGGTGGTACATGGGTAGCAAAGACTCATGCTTGCACAGTATGCAGAGTTCAGCGTAAATATGGGCTACTTTGATGTACCCTTCGCCTAGCATTGCGTCGCAGTCCGGAGACGATCCTGTTCAGTCTGAAGAACGGGTCAGCAAGCACGTGCAGTTTGCACAGTGCCACTCGCCAGGCTTAGGAAGGTGCACGAGCTTCGAGTTTGAGAGCCGAGAGAGGCTTCGGGGATCCCGAGGCTGCTAGGAGTTGACGTTTCAAGATTTCAGGTTTTAGGGGTTTGGGGTTTAGGGTTGAGGGTTGAGGGTTCAGGGTTTAGGGTTTAGGGTTTAGGGTTTAGGGTTTAGGGTTTAGGGTTTAGGGTTTAGGGTTGGGTCTTGGCGCAAAATCTCGTGCCCTTCCTTTCTTGCAGACAGATGAGGCTACAGGTTTGCCAGAGAACCAACCGTGGAACAGCACATCCACAGGCGGAACAGCAGACATGACCTCTGCACTTGGCTGCACTTGGGAGGGTAGCTAACAATTAAAGTTGTAGCTGCCTTACTAAGAAACCTAATAAACCCAAGAAGGCTAAGGATCTAAAGTTGCAGTAAAGCACCACAAAGTGCACTTTTGCGACGTTTTGCGATTTCGGGCGCACCCATGGGCATGAACATATCTTGCCATGTCATCCGAATCCTGCCCCACCGACCCCAAACATCAATCTTCTAGCACTTCAGAATCACCTCAGCCGTCCTGGCATGAAGCATCCCACAGCCGCGGCCTAGACTTGAGGACTCTACGCTCCCACAGCTAACTGCTGAATGCTCTTGCAAGGAAAAAATATAGGGGTCGGAATAGTTACTACTAGTATTCCCTTAGGGTCCCTATTATGCTATTGTAACCCCCCCAAACCCTATTCAAGTTATTCAGGTCCCTATATTCGCCTCGGCTTCCTGCCGAGAAGCGTCTGGAACAAGCAGACCCGGATCGGGCCTCCTTCCCCCTAACCCAACCCTTCCCCCCATGCCAAATGTTCTGACGCACCCCCCCCCCCCCCCGCCCTGTGGGACCCCCCCAATCCCTTGGAGGAGCTGCAACCATGCCGTGGAGGGTCCCGCTTGTCGGTGTCTCCTACAGGGGGAGTGCCTCAAAAACCCCCGCACCACCCCCACACCCCCCACCCCGCACCCCCCCCCCCCTCACCCCCCCCTCACCCCCCCCCTCTCCCCCCCCTCACCCCCCCCCCACCCCCCCCCTCACCCCCCCGACCCCCCCCCCCACCCGCTCTGCCCTTCCTCCCTTTTTTTGCGAAACCCTCTTTCCTCCTTTCCTGTCCTGGGGCCGGCCCGGCTGCCGAGGCGGCGCGCGCAAGCGTTTACAATTACATGATGGGCGCAGTGACGGATGTAGAGGTGTCTCGCTGCTCCTGAACAACTGGCGGGATCAAATGCCACAACTCGATCACACGCCGTCCTGCGCTGGACGACAATGCTTTGTACCTCAGCACTTCGGCCGAAAGCAGAGACGGGGGGGTTGTCCAGTAAGCGATTTCGACAGTAGAAAATGTAGGTAGACAGAGACGGAGACAGAGACAGAGACAGAGAGAGAGAGAGAGGGAGGGAGGGAGGGAAAGAGAGAGAGAAAGGGGGGTACCAAAATGCCACCCCCCCTCACGCACCCCACGTTTTGTGCTATAGTATGACTTAGAGAAAGCAAATTCGATGAAACAGCTTCCAAAAGTTCGAGGCCATCTCAAAATGTCCAAAACTCCTGAACTTCCATGCCCACAACTCCAAAATGAAAAAAACGTGTTGAAATTTGGGAATCTTGGAATGTGGAAATCTGCCACAAACTTCTGGAACTTTGGGGTTTGGCCGCGCTTTCAAAAGTTTTAGCTAATTCCAAATTTCAAACTCCAAAATTCCTTAACTTTTATACCCGCAATTCCACAAATTCCGAGCTCTTAGGAATCTTCGGAATTCTGAGCCTAAATTCTTTTGGAATGTTGGGAATTTGGGAATTTTGTGGGTTCGAAGCCACGAAGGTGCGGAATTTTGGCGCGTGGGATCTTATAGTCTTAAAACGTGGGGCTTGTGCGGTTAACGCACATGCGGCCGCCGGCAACTGCTTGGTAGCCCAGTAACCATATTGTGAAAAGGGCACCCTTTTTGGGGGTTGGTTTCTTTGAAGTCAACCCAGAACCAAGACAAGAAATATGGGAAAAAAAGGGTACCACTGGGCTACCAAGAAACCTGAACCCAAAGCTCAGAAACTATGGGTCCATATACCATATTATTCTATGGGGGTTTACGGAAATAAGGGACCCCGGATGACCACGGATATAGAGCCCCAAATAGTAGGATTCCCGTCTAAGAAGGACCCCAACTAAGGTACCCCCCTTAGCCCCCCCCCATCAACTTGGGCCCAAGAGTCCCGGTATGTGAATTTCCCAAAACAGGGGAACCCCTTTTTGTCTCACCCAAATAGAATAGAAGCCCCCAAAAGGGACCTACAAAAAGGGCACCCCTTTTTTCGGGAAGCCCTATATGAAGCAGGGTATATTTTTCTTGCACCCCCAAAAGGACACCAAGTATATACTCTCACCAAATTTTCAAAAAGGAACCTTATATACACTCACCAAAACAAGTAATACAAACCCTGTTTCGTATAGGGAAGACCGTCTTTGGGGTTAATCAAGGCATCACTCTCCAAGTTCCGATCGCCACCCAGTCCCGGCATGGTCGACTTGGAGGTATACCCATCGGGAGAGTTTAGGGTTTAGGGTTTAGGGTTTCGGGTTTCGGGTTTAGGGTTTAGGGTTTAGGGTTTAGGGTTTAGGGTTTAGGGTTTAGGGTTTAGGGGTGCCACTTCCTCGGGAAATCTTCCACAAGCTAGCCGTATTTATGAGGAGGAAGTGCGCAATCTGTCTAAGGGCACAGTGCAACTCTAAAACTACCTCAAAGTTAAAAAGCGACGGCTAGTACAACAGCTTGTCCCTCAGATTAGCAAGTGAAGGCCAAAATATGTACACCGACATTCTGCAGGCTGCATCCCTACATCCCTGAACTAGCCCTTGCCCCACGCAAAACACTGCCTGAAGTAAGACGTGTGCCTGCCGAATCTGTCTTCGCACCGCAGACGACTTGGTGGGCCTGCCGCCGGCTTGGGGTTCAGGGTCTTCTGACTCAAACTTCAGGGTTTAGGGTTTAGGGTTTAAGGCTTAGGGTTTAGGGTTTAGGGTTTAGGGTTTAGGATTTAGGGTTTAGGGTTTAGGGAAGCTTAAGCTCTGGACACGAAGGTGCTGAATCACATGAAGCAAAGCTAGAAGCACTACGCAGCACCCCACACGGCCCGAGCTCGCCTTCCATCCCTTCTTCTGACAGATCCTGGGTGCAGGTCGAGAGCTTCAAGAACAGGGTTTAGGGTTTAGGGTTTAGGGCTTAGGGCTTAGGGTTTAGGGTATAGGGTTTAGGGTTTAGGGTCTAGGGTTTAGGGTTTAGCGTTTAGGGTTTAGGGTTTAGGATTTAAGATTTAGCGTTTAGGGTTTAGGGTTTAGGGTTTAGGATTTAAAATTTAGCGTTTAGGGTTTAGGGTTTAGGGCCTTTGGGGTTTAGGGTTTAGGGATGCTTGTTTAGGGTTTAGGGTTCACCGACTGCAGTACACGAGCACTGGCCAGATTTAGCCCCGGCAGAGACGTGCCTGCTGCAGTAGAAGACCTGTTTGCACTGACACCTCGGCACTCATCGTGGGAACAGGGGCTTAGTTGTCCAGTAACCTGGGGGAATTCATGGTTACCCTTTGGGCTTATAAGGGGATTATACTACCCCAAAAGGTTAAAGGTTACCTACTCTACTACTAGGGGGGGGGGGGGTCTGCATGAGAGCTCGAAATAGCCAGAGATGCTAACATTCTCACAATCAAACCCAGGCATGGTGATCTGGTGATTTCCAGTGCTGAACGCCTTCACACCTTCACCTCGAATCCAACAAACCCAAGCCCTTTTGGTAGAAGGAACCTAAAGCCTTTGACATTCCGATCCCACCCTCAAAAAACACCTTGAACCCTCACGCCCTAAACCCTAAACCCTAAACCCTAAACCCTAAACCCTAAACCCTAAACCCTAAACCCTAAACCCTAAACCCTAAACCCTGACCCCTCCCCGAACCGTCGAGACCCGGCGCGGGGCTCTGGCTGGTTCATTTGCAGCAGCCATCTCTTGCAGACATCGCAGCTTAGGGCCTGGCATTCCTACCCCGGGTCCCTCGAACACTCTGATGAGGAGCTTTATGGGGCTTAGGGGCTCAGGGTTGAGGGTTTTAGGGTTGAGGGCTTTAGGGTTGAGGGCTTTAGGGTTGAGGGCTTTAGGGTTGAGGGCTTTAGGGTTGAGGGTTTAGGTTTCTGGGTCTGAGGTCAATTCAGGGAGTGTTAGGACCCTAAACCCTAAACCCTAAACCCTAAACCAAGATTCTTTGCTACTGAAGCCCTACCATCCCTTGGCCGGCGCAGCTGCTGCCTTGCAGCCCTAAACCCAAGCCCTAAACGCCTAAACCCCTAAATGCCTAAATCCCTGAATCCCTAAACCCCCTAAACCCCCTAAACCCCCTAAACCCTAAACCCTAAACCCTAAACTCTAAACCCTAAACCCCCTCAACCCCCAAAAGCTTCCCAAGGCCGCCCAGAGCTTCCCAAGGCGGCCGTCAAATTCGGCCTGCGCCGGGAACTTCGCCACCTGCAGGAAGGTCGAGTAGTGGCTCTGCACGTCCTCCTGGCATAGGGCTCTAGGGTTTAGGGTTTAGGGTTTAGGGTTTAGGGTTTAGGGTTTAGGGTTTAGGGTTTAGGGTTTAGGGTTTAGGGTTTAGGGTTTAGGGTTTAGGGTTTAGGGTTTAGGGTTTAGGTAGGGTTTAGGGTTTAGGGTTTGGGGTTTGGGGTTTGGGGTTGAGGGTTTAGAGTTTAGGGTTTAGGGTTTAGGGTTTAGAATTTAGGGTTTAGGGTGGCCCAAGAGAGCAACCCTAGGAATAAAACGGGTACCTTTTGGGAACCTAAACCCCTGCAAAAGAAGCGAAGAAGGGCTTACTTTGGGTCCCTGAGTTGAGGCTGTCTAGGGGCTTCTAAGGGATTTTAGGGTTGGGGAGGTTTTTAGGTGTTTTGGGGTTGGTGGGGGGGGGGGGGGGTTAAAGGGGTTTAGGATTTGGGGGTTAAGGGATTTAGTGGGTTTACGGGCTGTAGGACGTAGATGCGCACGGGGCCATGCATTGCTTTTGCAAGGGCTTCATCATCAGCATCTGGACTCAGGGACCCCACTATCACCCCTTGAACAAGGTGTACTCTCTAGCCCCAAAGGCTTCTGACTCTGAGCCGGTTTAGGGTTTAGGGTTTAGGGTTTAGGGTTTAGGGTTTAGGGTTTAGGGTTTAGGGTTTAGGGTTTAGGGTTTAGGGGGGTTTAGGGTTTAGGGTTTAGGGTTTAGGGTTTAGGGTTCAGGGTTTAGGGTTTAGGGTTTAGGGTTTAGGGTTCTCAGTATGAGCTACAGTAGTAACGGGGGCCCTAAGACCTTTAAAGCCTACCATGACAGCCCCAGCCCGCTGAACGCTTACTTGGAGGTTCCTGGCCATAGTACCTATTCACCCAATAATTACTATACTTATAGCACAAACTTATAGTCATATTAGGGTACTAAAGGGGCATATAAGTGGGCTATAAGTACTGTTATCATTGGTTAAGAAGTACTTCCAAGTAGGGGCAAATCTCGGCGGAAAGACATCTTGGTCGTGGCGCTCGAGCAGCCTCAGAACCACAGGCGGGCCAACTTCGAATCCCAAACTGACGGCGTTTGCCTAGGAAAAAAAGGGTGCCCTTTTTGTGTTAAAGGGGCTTCTTAGGGAACCTAAGCCCCAAAAAAGGGAATAAGGGGCCTACTTAGGGCACAAGCTTGAGGGTTTAGGGTCGAGGGCGGTTTGAGGGCTTCGGGTTCAGGCTGCAACCATTGAGTGCTCGAACCGACACCCAAAACCCTAAACCCTGAACCCTGAACCCTAAACCCTAAACCCTGAACCCTGAACCCTAAACCCTAAACCCTGAACCCTGAACCCTAAACCCTGAACCCAAACTTGGGCTGGGGACGCAGGGCGCAAGCTTCAGAATCTTCAGGCTCCGTGAGGACCTACCCTGGGGGGCATCTGCCAAGACCTGCCTTCTTTCAGGTTGCCCAAGAGATGCTTTTAGGGTTTAGGGTTTAGGGTTTAGGGTTTAGGGTTTAGGGTTTAGGGTTTAGGGTTTGGGGTTTAGGGTTTAGGGTTTGGGGTTTGGGGTTTGGGATTTGGGGTCTGGGGTTTGGGGTAAGAAAATCAATAAGGGCAGACCGGAGCTTCGCTTGCCAGTCAGAACTTGAGTAGCTAGAGATCACCCCACGTACTGATCGACTTATCGCTACCCGTGAGCCTTCCCTAGTTGTCCAGTAACCTGGGGGAATTGAAGGTTGACCTTTGGGATTTTATAGGGATTGGAATACCCTAAACAGGTTAAAGGTGACCTTCTCTACTACTAAGCTTCAAGTCGGTAGCCTAAACGCTGCATCGTAACCCCTGAGATGTCTTTAAAGTCTAGGTTTTCAATACAGCACACGACAGCCCTAAGCCCTAAGCCCTTAGCCCTAAGCCCTAAGCCCTAAGCCCTAAGCCCTAAACCCTAAACCCGAAACTGCCCGACTGCGGCCACGCAGCTTGTCATAATTCTGCATCTCGTCCGGGAAGCCGGCCCAGTCGGTACCATCCTCCACTACTTGCTACAACCCCCAAAATTAAAACATAAAGATAATGATGATAATAATAAATGAAAATAATTATGAATAAGTAAGGATACTACTAATAATATATAATATAGTAAGAACTCAGAATAATTCAGAATAATGATAATAATAACAAAAAGTATATATATATATATATACCTGTGTATGTATATATATATATATATATATATATACATTTAGATGAATAATTCCTTCATTGCCCTTATAATCAGGAAGAGATCTTTTTTGTTTGCGGGGTTCTTAAGCAACGAGTCGCAACGAGCAGTCCTCCAGCTGGAGGATCATGCAGGTCATGTTGTCACGGCTGTTCCTGGGCATGGGCTTGCGGCTCGACCCAGGAGCCCCTTAAGAATCTAGGGTTTAGGGTTTAGGGTTTAGGGTTTAGGGTTTTTGGGTTTTGGGTTTAGGGTTAGGCAACCATACGAGCTTCGGGTTTGGGGCTGAAGCTTTAGAGGCTTCTTTGGCTTGGGGTGTACGGTTTGGGGGCTTTTGGGGTGTTCAGGATTGGGGAAAACTCTGGGGGGCTAAACCCTAAACCCTAAACCCAAAACCCTAAACCCTAAACCCTAAACCCTAAACCCTTAACCCCAAACCCCAAACCCTAAACCCTAAACCCTAGCTCTCAGTCCGAGGTGCTTCTTCAGGCACAGGCGCAGCAGCTCCGCAGCCACATCCCCGAGGTCCACCGGAGGTTCCCTTGACACCTTTCAAAACAGCGAGGATGACGGTTTAGGGGTTTAGGGTTTAGGGTTTAGGGTTTGGGGTTTAGGGTTTAGGGTTGAGGGTTGAGGGTTGAGGGTTGAGGGTTGAGGGTTGAGGGTTTAGGGTTTAGGGTTTAGGGTTTCAAACAGCGAGGATGAGGCCTGAGGAGGGCTTGGCAGGTGCAGAGCTTGTTTCATGGTTGCTTCTGTCTTGCAGGTATCTTGTAAGAGTTTCGTTGTCTCCTTCGGCGCTCTCACTTCATTCTTCCTTAGTTTGAACTCCCAAACGCTGAAGTCCTTGCAAACAGAGTTGCCGCTAGACATGAAACATCAACAGAGCGCAAGAAGGGGCGCGAGGCAGGGTCCTTGCACTCACCTCTTTCAGCAAGGAACAGGACGAAACAGATCATTCAGTGAGGCATCCGGTACTGAACTACGATTTGCTTAAGAACCCCAAAAGAACGAAAACAATCCCTATGTGAAGGTCTGGCTGTCTGTGACACCCCAAACCCTTCTTGCTAAACCCCTCTATGACAGCTGTCACAAGCCACAAGCAAGGTATCCGGTACACACAAGAGGAGCGTTCCCTGCGCCTGCGACTGTGCGGTTTAGCGTTCAAGGAAGGCTTAGGGTTTAGGGTTTAGGGCTTAGGGCTTAGGGAGTAGGGCTCAGGGCTGAGGGGGTTTGGGGAGCCCCCCCGCCGCCTCCTCGCGCACATATTCTGCCTGAGGCGTGAGAGTGAGAGGAGATGCACTTCTTTCAAGTGTGTGGGAGCTTCTGGCTAAACCCTCACCCCTGCGCCCTGAACCCTCGACCTGCCCAAGCCCTAGCCTTCAGGTACAGGTGGGAGCCTTGTGGGGGTTTCCGCACATGGGTGGCGGGGGGCACCTTTTTTGGGGGGTCCCTTTCACGGAATTCTATTCTATCGGGGGGGTACACAAGGGTACCCCCCTCCCCCCCTCCCATATTTTGGGCAAGGGCCCTTATAAATCTACCCGAAAGCACTTCCGCCGAGGGTCGACATCTTCTGCAGTCATGACCTGAGTGGCATGGAGTTTCTTTCATGCTGGTCGGCAACAAACATACTGGCAATTGAGAGCTTAAGATTTTTTGAAGGATTGCCATGGAAGAGGTCGTGCGGAAATGCCAGCAAAAACAAGCCATCAACATCCGCGACGCAATCTGCTGACACTTGCCAGTGTTTTGAAGAACTACTTCCACAAACAACTCTTCTACTGCTCTCGGCCATACTCTCAGAGTGTTGAGTTACGGCTGGAGTGGCAACCCTTCTACACAAAGAGCTACAATGTGAGTACGACTGCCGGTCCTGACTTCTGTAGACATTGCAGGCGATCGCTTCAAATGATCGAAACCGTTGCTGGTGCTACTCTTAAACGGAGCTATGAGAAAAACACTGACTACAGGATCGAAGCATTCGTATAATCGGTCACGGCGCGATTTTCCTGAACAGGCCAGCGAAGTCTCAACATCAAAGCACATCCGCACTCCCAAAAGACATGGCACCCCTCCCTCCCAAAAAGGAACGCCAAACTCCTAAACCAGTCACCCTGCCCCAAGGAACCCCAAGTCTATACTCCCCTTAGAACCTTAATAAAAAGAATATTTTTTATATCCTCTTGGGTTTAATATTAACCAAAAAAGCAATTCCAAAGGGGGATATAGCCAAGCGCTTTCGCTCAGGCGAGTACATCCCAAACTCCGTCGCAAGCGAGCACGCAGATGCTGCCCGGCCTCGGACAATTCAGGGCTTAGGGCAATACAGGGGCCTTAATCGGGTTTAGGGTTTAGGGTTTAGGGTTTAGGGTTTAGGGTTAGGACTATGAAGGGGGGGGGGGGGGGTCCTTATAGTAGAATTAGAAAGGGACCATAAGGGAATATCATTAGGAATTATTCCGACCCCCATGTTAGGGTAGGACTGTCCTGGCTTGTGTTCAACCGGTCCAGAGTTTTATGTGCTAAGGAAGTGGGTCAACTCACATCATGCCGCGTCACATCACCCCCCACCGATGCGCGGCCCCGAACTCACAACACATGAGCTTGAAGTCAGGGTTTAGGGTTTAGGGTTTAGGGTTTAGGGTTTAGGGTTTAGGGTTTAGGGTTTAGGGTTTAGGGTTTAGGGTTTAGGGTTTAGGGTTTAGGGTTTAGGGTTTAGGGTTTAGGGCATCACCGACAGTGACTTTTGTGACAATCCCCATTGCTTCGTGCACACGCGGTAAACAAGTTCACTTGCCATGCAGCGACCAAACACTCCACGCCTAATCACCTGCTGTCAAACCACATGGTACGCCCAGCAAACAGTGCTGGGAACTGGTCAGCCATCAAAAAGAGCTTCGAATTCAACAACAAGCAACATGTGCTCGCTTGAAAGTACAGTCAACCCGCAACTACATCGACCACGAGCTGTACCAGCCCCTGCTACAGAAAGGACATGCGGATGACATAAGCACTGCTGCGCGTGGGTGCTTGGTGATATGGAAGGGGTTCAACACTGCAGTAGTAAGCTACTTGTTTGCCTGGTCGTTCCTCTGCAAGGTCCCTGACAAACTTTGTGCTGTTTAAAGTTGCAGAATTTGGAGCTTACAATACTCAAGCTTGCGAGCATCACAGCCAGGCATTCGGAGACACTACCAAAAGATTCGCGCCGCATAAGCTCACCAACAAGTTGAAAAATGATGGGTGTTTCTGGTGCTGGGCCACTTACATCCACCAAGTACTCTTGAATGCCGGGAACTTGTCAGCCCTCATGGGCATGATTCCCCCAGCCGCTCGCTATCTGAAAGCCGACCAACGGAAAGTATCATCACCCACGGCCAAGCACCACGAGAAGAGCCGTTAAACTGCAACTACGTTCAGGAATCAACCACACATAGTGAGAACCCTTTGATGTGCGAACTCCTAGTCCTTCGTGGGCTCAGCAAGAACAAAAACATCTCGAACATCCTCCAGTCAAGAAGAAATCCTGCGCACTGAACTCGTGTGGAAAACTTGTGGGCCTGACAGCCTGCAGCGATTCCCTGAGAATTCGCGGGAAGATGCGACTTGTATGATTCATCCACACACCATCTTCGGTGTCTGGGACATGCACCAGAAGGTCATGAATCTGCTCTGCATGTACCGAAACATAGAACCTCTACTTGGAGGTTCATGGGTAGTTATGAGTGGGGATATAAGTAGGGTAACTCTAATAATATCTGGTTATAACCTTATTCAGGGTACTGATAACCCTACTTATATCTGCCCATGCAACTTCAAGTGTCTGTCTAAGGTATGCCACTTGCAATCCGTTTCCCCCTAAAGCCCAGCCCGAGCGCAGGGGGCTGGCAGGAGATGGAATTCGGGGTGAGGGTCGGTTGGGGTTTAGGGTTTAGGGTTTGGGGTTTGGGGTTTAGGGTTTAGGGTGCAGGGTTTTGGGTTTAGGGTTTAGAGTTTGAGGTTTAGGGTTTAAGGTTTCGGGTTTAGACTGGAAGTCCAGAGACAAGACCCCAGCTGGAGGGACGGGATTTCGTAGATGTCCGGGACGCAGGATACCTGAGCCGAAGTCTAGTCCTTAAGAAGATGGATAATTCAGGGGCTTTTTTACATTTAGAATAGGGTTTGGGGGGGGGGGGGGGGGGGGGGGGGGGGGGGTATGCTCGAATAAGTATATAGAGGCCACAAGGGAATACTACTAGTATTTATGTAGGGGTCATAAGGGAAAACTACGAGTAAAATATCGACCCCTATGCTATGCTGTCGGCATCGACCTACATGAATAGCGCTTGGTTATGCCGAATCCCTTCAGACAAGACGAGGTGAGTTGCGCCGAAGGACGGCGAACATGCTCTGCCAAAGCCACGGCTGTTGGCATGCATTCGCAGAAGTTGTCAAGGACAGAAACCCTAAACCCTAAACCCTAAACCCTACACCCTAAACCCTAAACCCTAAACCCTAAACCCTAAACCCTAAACCCTTCCTCTTTGCCCTGTCCACTACTGGCGCATTCGAAGGGCATCGATCGCGCAGATCGGAAGAAGGCTGCCCGAGGGCGACCCGACGCGAGACAGGCATGGAGTTGGACATACCACCTAAAGAGGACATGCCCTAAGACTTGCACCACAAGCCTGAACGGTTTAGGGTTTAGGGTTTAGGGTTTAGGGTTTAGGGTTTAGGGTTTAGGGTTTAGGGTTTGGGGTTTGGGTTTAGGGACCCCAAACCTGAACCCCAATAACCTAAACCCCAAACCCTAACACCCCAACCCCAAACCTTAACCCATCCCTTCCTCACTGAGCCCGAGGCTTTCTGTTCGCTGGCAAGCCTTTGGCCTGAATGGGCACAAGGGTTTAGGCTTTAGGGTTTAGGGTTTAGGGTTTAGGGCTTAGGGTTTAGGGCTTACGGTTTAGAATTTAGCGTTTAGGGTTCCTGCTCATGCAACACAACCTCCTTGTCTGCGTAGGTGCATCTCCACCCACACCGAAAGGAAGAAGCTAGCTGAAACCCTGAACCCTAAACCCTAAATCCTAAACCCGACCCCCTGAAACTCAAATTCAAGGTCCTCGAACCCCCCCCTGCGAGTTCCAAGAGCATTAGGGTTTAGGGCTTAGGGTTTAGGGTTTAGGATTTAGGAGCAAACCCCGGCTCCCCACCATCTCCCTTGTACTCGAAGTCTCCCAGGCCACGGCTCACCTGCGCAGATCTTGTTTTGAGGTTTCGCTCAAGGTGGGTTTAGGGTTTAGGGTTTAGGGTTGAGGGTTGAGGGTTGAGGGTTTAGGGTTTAGGGTTTAGGGTTTAGGTTTAGGGCGTTTGGTGTTTAGAGTTTAGGTTTAGGGCGTTTGGTGTTTAGGGTTTAGGGTTTAGGGTTCAGGGTTTAGGGTTTAGGGTTTAGGGTTTAGGGTTTAGGGTTTAGGGTTTCGGGTTTAGGGAAAAATGTAGGGTTTGGGTTGAGGGATGATTGCGTACCTTGGGTACGGTTTGCCGTGCAACGGGCGTTTGCAGCAAGACCCCTAAGCCCTAATTTTGTGAAGCTTAAGGATGCGCGGGCACGTGGGCCCCCCAAGCCCCAAACCCTAAGCCCTAAGCCCTGAGCCCTGAACCCCAAACCCTAAACCCTAAACCCTAAACCCTAAACCCTAAACCCTAAACCCTAAACCCTGGCAGCGAGCTGAGCTGGCGACGGCCAAGCTGCCATCCAACCGCGGCGGATCCTTGCCAGAGGGGTTGGGATCACCTCATGGGGAACCCATGATATCCAGATCATTCTGACTAGTGGGTTTAGGGTTTGGGGTTTAGGTCAGTGCAAGACGGCCAGGACATGCGACCAGACGTTCTTGGCTTACTTGAAGGCTCGTAATAGCTACTTTGACCCTAAACCCTCAACTTGAAACCCTAAACCCTTAACTAGGGGGTTTTCGGGTTTGGGTTGAGGGGTGTAGCATTTTAGGGTTGCAGGGTGTTTGAGCCTATAGGTTTAAGGAGTTTAGGGCTTAAGAAGTTTAGAGGTCTGGGGTTTACAGGTTTACCCTAAACCCTAAACCCTAAACCTTAAACCTTAAACCCTAAACCCTAAACCTTGAACCCTAAACCCTAAACCCTAAACCCTAAACCCTAAACCCTAAACCCTAAACCCTAAACGACCCAAAGCCGGAAGGCGCCAGCCTCCATGGTGGTGACGGAGCCTCCCGCGGCCTCGATGCGGAATTTCTCCGTGGGGTGGTCTGGCCTGCGAGCTTTTGGGGAACTCCGCAAGCTTTAGGGTTTAGGGTTTAGGGTTTAGGGTTTAGGGTTTAGGGTTTAGGGTTTAGGGTTTAGGGTTTAGGGTTTAGGGTTTAGGGTTTAGGGTTTAGGGTTTAGGGTTTAGGGTTTCGGGTGTTATTGACATTTTTTGGAGGACGGAAAGAAGCCGAAACTCTGAAGCCCCAAAAACCTGCAAGGATTCTACGCCCAGGGCCTCAACTGAGAAGCCCGACCACCCTTACCTACTTGGAGGTACATGGGCAGTTGTGAGTAGGGATAAAATTGCCCCCCAAGTTAGGCTATGAGTATAGTTACCCTACTTACATCCCTACCTATAACTACCCATGAATCTCCAAGTAGAGGAGCCCTGCAGGTTGTCTGAAAAAAACCAAAGCAAAAAAGGCACGTTAAGGCACGTCTGCCTCCCTGGTGCACGGGAGGGAAAGCCTCAAACCCTTAAACTTGGGATGATTCTCCCTTATCCCAACAGTCCTCCATTGATTGTCGTACCCCCCCCCATGATAATCCCTATTAAGGACTGCTAGAAAAAGGGGGAACATCCCAACCCTAAACTTGAAAACCCTTTGAAGGGGGCCAGAAGCAGAAGCGCCCGGGTTCAAAAACAGGCCAAGCTTGGCGCTGAGGGCTTCTTTGACACTTCAAGGGGCTTTTGGTGTTCATCGTTTAGGGTTAATGTTAGATGTAGAAGCGTAGGCAGTTGTTCGGGTTTAGGTTCTCAAGCCCCCTACTGGTAGGAGCCAGTGGGGTTCACAAGGAAACTCAATCCCAAAAGTGAACCAGGGTGCTGGTGAACCATGCTTAGAGGTTAAAAGCCGAAAGTCGAAAGTGCCCCTGTTTTGAAGGGCAGACGGTATGTTCAGTGCCGGGCTTGTGGTCGATGGTTTCCATCACCACCGGAAACCTGGGCATCAGGAAAGGCAGGCAACCCGACACAAACAGCTGGCAGAGTGCCTGTTAGGGATCCAGATTTAGGAGACCCTTGGGGATATAGACCCTCTGAATAAGGTCCCTGTTTAAGAGAGCCACAAGAGGGTTCAGAAGGGGTCCCCTTTAAGGGTCCCCCTTATCCTACCTAGGACCTGTGGCTTCCAGGTCATCTCCTAACACGTGCACCCGCCTCCCGAGGGCCTCTTGTATTCTGTTGAATTCCGAGCTCAGCTGCTCTAGAAAGCAGAGCACCACCCAGAAGCCACGCACACAACAGCCAACAGCGAAACCCGTTTTTTGCCCACCGGCGACTCCTGAAAGCACACAAGGCTGTTGTTCAGAGGCCTTTTTGGGGGGGGGCTTCGGTGCTTGCTTGGGGCGCCCAGGTCTGCTGGATCTCTTTATCAGCCCAGAACCTAGAAAAAGAGACGATCAGTGCCCTGAGCTCGAAAGAACTGCACCTCGAATCTTCAAAGCCTAAAGCCTAGACTGTACGTCTGGCACGGCTGCGGCAGTTTTGGGGGACACGACCTCAATCGCGCCGGCCACATTTTGCTCTTTGCGCATCGCACTCGTCTGAGAAAGGCCCGCTACTCTAACCCTACGCCGGTCCAACCATGAGCCAACCCCGACCCTCCTCCGAGAACATCAGAATCCACACCACGCTCCACTTCGGCACTTAGTGTCTTCGAAGAGGAAGGCTAATCTTTGCGTGTCAACAACTTTGAATTGAATACCCTAATTACACCACATAAACTACCACATAGTGCTTCACTCCCCTCCCCGCAACCCGCAAAAAAAGGGAGGCCGCTCACGCAGCAGCCTGCGGGTTAACCTTCCGAATTTCCGCGTACTCCTCAGGGCCCCAAACACACTTCCATCAACCGCCGGCAGCCGAAACCCTAAACCCTCAAACACACCTGCGACCCTGCCCTATGTTCCAGCATATGCCTAAGCTGGAAGCTCCCGATGAGCAACCTGGAACCATGGGTTCCGTGAACCCCAAGATCTTAATTAACGCCAAAACCTTAAACCCCAGCCCTACACCTCCCGTAGGCTACTTAAAGAAAAGAAGAGGGAGAGGGAGAGGGAGAGGGAGAGGGAGAGGAAGAGGGAGAGGGAGAGGGAGAGGGAGAGAGAGAGAGAGAGAGATATGTATGTATATATATATATATGTATCCACCGACCCCCATCGGCATCAGTGAAAACTCACCCCTGCAGTAGCCCCACCGCCCTACTCTGAGAGCCTGCCTCCCCCCTCTAGTGTAATTGCTTCCCTGCTGTGGACGAACCGCCCCCACCACCCTCACAGCACCGCCCTACTCTGAATGCTCGCCCATGCAACATTGATTTCAAGAGCATCCGCGCACGCCCCACAGGCCGTCCCTCCCCCCCCCCTCCGCAGGCCCTTGTGCTGTGGATGAGTGATTCCGAGGCCTCCAGCACACGCCCTTTAGGATTTGCGCGGGGCCCTTCGGGAGGCCTCCAAAACGGCATCACAGGGGCTGCAAAACGCGATGGTACGAAAAGCACGAAAACCTCGCAAAAAACCATGGGTTTTTTACGAAAAAACGAGGCCCCCAAACACCCGCAACACCTCATTAAACCCTCACGGGCGCGCATCATCGACCCTGGCTTTTCACATCGGGTGTGCACCAGGCCGAAGTTCCATTTTTCAGGGTTTGGGGGGGGCGGGGGGGTACCGGAAGCCCAAAACCAGGGGAGCATCATGAGCATCAGCAGCTGCGGCGCGCGGCCTCAAATCAGAAAAAAATGCCGAAGAACGCTGAAAAATGCCATGCTTTTTTAATGGGGTTTTTCACGCGCACCTCCGAACCCCACCCTTGTTGCCCTTGTCCCGCCTCCAAAGTGAGCATCATCGAAACCCATGTCGGGGGGGGGGGGGCGGGGGTCTGCTGATGCTGCTGATGCGCGGGGTCCGGGGGCATCATCGAGCTATCGCAGAGGCCTTCGGGCCCGCGACACAAAGACCCAGCTGATTCTCATGATGCTTTTCTGGGCGGGGTTTCCAAGAGGAGAAAACCTCGTAAATATCGAGTGTTTTTGGGGTCCGCGAAAACACGCCCCTAAACTCGCTCATTTCACGCGCTCGAACGGCATCATGCCCACAAAACAGCCGAAAAGCAATGCCCTGCATACCCTTAAGGGCATTCGGGGTGTTGCTTTCCGGTGCTTGTGGGCATGCAACCGTTCCAGCACATAGAATCGGCGTGTTTAGGGGAGTCTCGGAGGCTGGGGGAGGCCGCTGATGCTCATGATGCTCCCTTTCATCGTGGTTGAATGGCTTCCCAGCCGAAAAAAGGCGTGTTTGCGGCATTTTCTAAGGATTTTCAAGGAAACACGCGTGTTTAGGATGTGTTTAAGGCTCTCAAACCAACCCCACTGATGCTCCTGATGCGGGTGCGCGCGGGCGCGTGCGGGCAAAGGAAAGAGAAAGAGAGACAGAGAGAAGGAGACGAAGCGAAGAGACAAAGAGGCAAAGGTGAACGAAGAAGAGATAGATAGGTGAACGAGCGAGAAAGGTGAACGAGCAAAAGAAAGAGAGAGAGAGAGACAGAGGAAAAAAAAGATAGAAGACCAACAGCAAAAAAAGAAAAGAATAAAGAGAAAGGTGAAGGCGAACGAGAAAGATCAACGGGAAGAGAAACTGAGAGAGAGGGAGAGGAAAAGAAAAAGAGAAAGAGCAACAGCAAGAGAAAGAAAAAAAGAAAGAGAAAGGTGAGGGAAAAAGAGGAAGAGGAAGAGAAAGCGAAAGAGAAAGCGAAAGGGAAAAGGAGAAAGAGAATGATAAAGAAAAACAGAAAAAGAAAGATAAATACAAAGAGAAAGGAGAGGAGAGTGAGAGAGCAGACAGAGAAGAAGAGAGAGAGAGAGAGAGAGAGCAGACACAGAAGAGGGAGAAGAGGGGGAAGAGAGAGAGGAGAGGGAGAAGAGAGAGAAGAGAGAGAGGAGAGAGAGGAGAGGGAGAAGAGAGAGAAGAGAGAGAAGAGAGAGAAGAGAGAGAAGAGAGAGAAGAGAGAGAAGAGAGAGAAGAGAGAGAAGAGAGAGAAGAGAGAGAAAAGAGAGAGAGAGAGAAGAGAGAGAAGAGAGAGAAGAGAGAGAAGAGAGAGAGAGAGAGGAGATGGAGAAGAGGGAGAAGAGGGAGAAGACAGCAAACGGAGAAGAGGGAGGAGAGAAGAGGCAGAATGAAACATGCAACGAACAGAGAGAAGAGCTGAGAGCTTAGGGGTTTAGGGTCTAGGGTCTAGGGTCTAGAGGGCTTACGGTCTTGGGGTTTAGGGGGGTTTAGGGTTTCGGTTTAGGGACACATGCAACCGAAGCCCGCCCCCTTCCCCCCCCCTCCGACACCTCTCAAGCAATCTCAGCCCCACGCACAACCTGTAGGTATGAGGATGCTACATGCCAAGCTTCGGGGGCGGGGCGTGGGCCGGCCCGTGCCGCTAGGCCTAAACATATAAATATACATGTGTATATATATACATACTGTATACATACTCAGACGGTACGGCCTTTGGGCCCAAACAACTAGGAACTCAAGAGTCCTTGGGCCCGTAGGAAAAGCCTTCGGCCTTCGGCCCCTCAACCCCAGCCGTCCTCGGGACCCCAAGCCATGAAACCACGTTTGTCCAGCTTCCGCGGGACAAAGGGTGCCTCCCAACATCGAAAGCTTGAGTTTAGGGAATAGGGTTTAGGGCTTAGGGCTTAGGGTTTAGGGTTTAGGGTTTAGGGTTAAGGGTTTAGGGTTTAGGGTTTAGGAGCCGGTCTTGTAGGGCGTTGCTTCGGGTTTAGGGGAGCTCTAGTAAAGGGGGGGGGGGTTCTTTGGCGGTTGCTTACTCGGTTGCTGAAGGCTGAAGACAAACCTCGAGCCATTCAAGCAGATTGGTGGCTCAAGAGGGGGGGAGGGGGGGGTTGGGAGGGCGGTCGCTCAGAGCCTCGAACCGCATCTATAGCATTGGCTGGTTTAGGGTTGAGGGGGTTCAAGAGGCTCCTCCACGGGCCTCCTCCACCAGTGCGGGTTTCCGGGCTTTTGCCCTAAACCCAAAAAGCCAGGGCTCCAAATCACCGAGCTGCAGCCTTAAAAACCTGATGACCCTGAACCCCAAACCCTGAACCCTCAATCCTAAACCTGATAACCCTAAACCCTAAACCCTAAACCCTAAACCCGAAACCCTAAACCCGAAGCCCTAAACCCTAAACCCTAAACCCTAAACCCTTCGGAATCTGAGCTGAAACCTGCCTCCTCCCTGGTCGGAGCCGTCTCATCGCACTCCGAGAGGTAGAACCTAGGTTGGCCCCTTCAACCCTCAAATTAGAGTTTAGGGTTTAGGGTTTAGGGTTTAGGGTTTAGGGTTTACTTCCTTATTTTCTTAAAACATCTTAAAACCCTCAAATAGATTGCTGAGTATGAGCGAACCCTGAACCCTGCACACCCGCACTATAAGAGAGAGAGAGAGAGAGAAAAAAAAAACGTGCATCTTAAAACAAAACTCCCAGGAACCGAGCATGGGCGTGGCTGGTAAACTGCGAGTCGCTGCAGGCCAAGTTAGGGCCTGCGCGCACGAGCGCGGCTCAGGGGGGGTTTGCTCTGACGCTTAGGGCTTAGGGTCAAACTCTTCGGGCTTAGGGTTTAGGGTTTAGGGTTTAGGGTTTAGGGTTTAGGGTTTAGGGTTTAGGGTTTAGGGTTTAGGGTTTAGGGTTTAGGGTTTTCTCCTTTTTGGAAGACCCTACAGAACTCTTTTGGGGATCCTAGCTTTACTTTTTCTGTTGGGTGCCTGTAAGGGGCCCCTTAAGTGGGGCGTTCCGGGTCTACTCCGAAACTGCGCTCATTGTCCGTTTGGCCCCCGTTCTTGAAGCAGAGTCAACTATACTCCCCTTAGAACCTTAATAACAATAATATGTTTAATACCCTCTTGGGTTTTATGTAAAAAATAGAAAAATAATTCCCCAGGGGGA